CTCTACAACTGGATTCTCATTTGAATCTTAAGGGGAATGCTTCAGATATGCTCCTACACATCGCTGTTAGGTTGCTTTGCCGGGATAATTTTATTACCTAACAGCGAAGACTGATAGGTTTCTAGTTGACTCAAAAGAGCTCACAGATCACTCCACAGGGGGGTCCGGGCAGGTGTTGGGAGTATGCCGGGTGGCAGGTTGCCGCTCGGTTTTTTTTCGCAACATCCACACACTTCGTCCTCTTCGATTTCCCAGAACTCCATTCCCAGAGCCACATTCTGGAGGCCCGAATCGAAGGCAACAGTCACACACTCGTGCTCTTCGACTTCCCAGAACTCCATTCCCGGGCCACATTTTGAATGCCCGGAGCCAACTGTAGGCCACTTCGTGGTCTTCGAGTCCCAGAACTCCATTCCCGGGCCACATTTTGAATGCCCGGAGCCAACTGTAGGCCACTTCGTGCTCTTCGAGTTCCCAGAACTCCATTCCCGGGCCACATTTTGGATGCCCGGAACCAACTGTAGGCCACTTCGTGGTCTTCGAGTTCCCAGAACTCCATTCCCGGGCCACATTTTGGATGCCCGGAGCCAACTGTAGGCCACTTCGTGGTCTTCGAGTTCCCAGAACTCCATTCCCGGGCCACATTTTGAATGCCCGGAGCCAACTGTAGGCCACTTCGTGGTCTTCGAGTCCCCAGAACTCCATTCCGGGCCACATTTTGAATGCCCGGAGCCAATTGTAGGCCACTTCGTGCTCTTCGAGTTCCCAGAACTCCATTCCCGGGCCAGATTTTGGATGCCCGGAGCCAACTGTAGGCCACTTCGTGGTCTTCGAGTTCCCAGACCTCCATTCCTGGGCATGAATTTGAATGCCCGGAGCCAACTGTAGGCCACTTCGTGTTCTTCGAGTTCCCAGAACTTCATTCCCGGGCAACATTTTGAATGCTGAGGCAGGCTGATGCTGAGGCTGAGGCAGGCTGAGGCTGAGGCAGGCTGAGGCTGAGGCCGAGGCTGAAGGCAGACTGAGGCTGAGGCTGAAGCAGGCTGAGGCTGAGGCTGAGGCAGGCTGAGGCTGAGGCTGAGGCAGGCTCATGCTGAGGCAGGCTGAGGCTGAGGCTGAGCTGATGCAGGCTGAGGCTGAGGCAGCCTGAGGCTGACGCCGAGGCTGAAGGCAGACTGAGGCTGAGGCTGAAGCAGGCTGAGGCTGAGGCTGAGGCAGGCTGAGGCTGAGGCAGGCAGAGGCTGAGGCTGAGGCAGGCTGAGGCTGAGGCTGTGACTGCGACTGCCGTTGCCGCTGCGACTGTCATCGCGAATGCGACTACGACTGCGAGAACAGCAGAATTCGACAACTGGATTTTCATTTGAATCTTAAGGGGAATGCTTTCAGATATGCTTCTACACATACCCGGGGAGGCTGCCGGGAGGCTGCCGCCGAAGCCGAAATCGCTTCGGACATCCTCGCAAAATCGCTCTTGGTGCTCCCAGAACTCCACTCCCGGGCCACATTTTGGATGCCCGGAGCCAACTGTAGGCCACTTCGTGCTCTTCGACTTCCCAGAACTCCACTCCCGGGCCACATTTTGGATGCCCGGAGCCAACTGTAGGCCACTTCGTGCTCTTCGATTTCCCAGAACTCCATTCCCGGGCCACATTTTGGATGCCCGGAGCCAACTGTAGGCCACTTCGTGCTCTTCAAGTTCCCAGAACTCCATTCCTGGGCATGATTTTGAATGCCCGGAGCCAACTGTAGGCCACTTCGTGTTCTTCTAGTTCCCAGAACTCCATTCCTGGGCCACATTTTGAATGCTGAGGCAGGCTGATGCTGCGGCCGAGGCAGGCTGAGGCTGAGGCAGGCTGAGGCTGAGGCCGAGGCTGAAGGCAGACTGAGGCTGAGGCTGAAGCAGACTGAGGCTGAGGCTGAGGCAGGCTGAGGCTGAGGCTGAAGCAGGCTGATGCTGAGGCAGGCTGAGGCTGAGGCTGAGGCTGATGCAGGCTGAGGCTGAGGCAGGCTGAGGCTGAGGCCGAGGCTGAAGGCAGACTGAGGCTGAGGCTGAAGCAGGCTGAGGCTGAGGCTGAGGCAGGCTGAGGCTGAGGCAGGCTGAGGCTGAGGCTGAGGCAGGCTGAGGCTGAGGCTGTGACTGCGACTGCCGTTGCCGCTGCGACTGTCATCGCGAATGCGACTACGACTGCGAGAATAGCAGAATTCGACGACTGGATTTTCATCTGAATCTTAAGGGGAATGCTTTCACATATGCTTCTACACATCGCTGTTAGGTTGCTTTGCCGGGATAATTTTTTGACAGGGATGGTGGGGGGGGGCGCATCGGGTTGGCCGCGCATGTTCTGAATTTGGAGGCAGAATGTGTTTTGTAGTGTTTTTTTACAAGGGATGGTGGGGGGGGGGGTCGTCATGGACCCTGGTTGGCCCCCAGTCGCTTGGGGGAGGGGGTGTTTATTCATAGGGAACAGTGATCAAGACTCCTTCCCCGCCCGCAAGCCGTCTCGCTCACGCCCACCCGCCCGCCCAACACATACGTAGCACCCGAGCCTGGCCCGAACCTCAGCATATTCAGCAGTCGTCTGTGGATGGGCAGCTACTGGGGGCGCATCCGCCGCCGCCGCCGCCTCCGCCGCCGCCCCCGCCGCCCGCCGCCGCCCCCGCCGCGCCGCCGCAGCCGCCGCTCGCCAGCCGCCGCGCCGCGGCGCGCCGGCCGCCGCCGCCGCCGCCGCCGCCGCCGCCGCCTCCGCTGCCACTCGCCGCGCCGCGCCGCGCCGCCACCGCCGCCGCCGCCCGCCGCCGCCGCCGCCGCCGCCGCCCCCGCCGCCGCCGCCGCCACCGCCGCCGCAGCCGCCGCAACCGCTGCCGCCGCCGCAGCCGCCGCCGCCAAGTGCAGTCTGTATTTTTGTGACAGGGATGGAGGGGGGAGGCCGCATCGGGTTGGCTGCGCATGCTCCGAATTTGGAGGCGGAGTGTGGTTCGAATTGTTTTTTTATCAAAGGGATGGTGGGGGGGTGCCCGCATTGTTCGTGGTAGGCTGCCACTCGCCAGTGGGAGGGGGTGTATATTAATAGGGAACAGTGATAAACCCATCCCCGAAGGGGAAGTAGGAGGGGTAACAGAGGAAACGCTCCAGACCACCTACGCCCAAAAGGCTGGTGGGATTTCATGATCAAAGGTTGGGGCTCACAACCCTCTCAGATAAGCAATTTTGGACCCTCCCCCCAGACCAGCCATGAGAGGGCGCCCTTTTGCCCAGACCCCCCAGAATCCTCTAAGACAATTCCAAACAAATCCTCCCCAGATCAGACTTCCTTCTTGTTATCATGCAGCCTGTAATGCCGATGCCGCTTCTTTTCGCTATGAGCCTCCTGGGAGGCCCTCGTCGCCACGGCTGGATTCGCCCCGCAATTCTGGTCAGAGAGCATCTCGGGAGAGCTCTGGGGAGTAGCGGTATCACTATCGGAATTGCGTGTTCTACCGCTGCTGGCGGAAAGCCGGAGGGGGGGTACTGGGGGTTCCCACCCCCCCCCTCGAAAACCGGGGGGTCACTACCAGTTCGAACCCCTCCCCCCCCAGCCCATCATTTTAAAAGGGGGGAGGGTCATTACCAGTTCGAACCTCCCCCCTCGAAAACCGGGGAGGGTCACTACCGGTTCGAACCCCCCCCGCCCCTCGCCGCCGGCAAACGATCTCCGCTGCTCGGGACAGTTCGACAGTGGTGGGGATACTGGGACAGTGATGGGAACGGTGGCGTGGTGGTGGGGACACTGGTGCGGGGACAGTGGGACAGTGGTGCGGACAGTGGTGGGGAGGGCGGTGGTGGGGACAGTGGTGAGGGGACAGCGGGACAGTGGTGGGGGCGGTGGGGCAGTGGTGGGGACGCTAGTGGTGGGGACAGTGGTGAAGTCGCTGGTGCGGACGGTGGTGGGACAGTAGTGCAGTGGGGAGAGTGGTGGGGACAGTGGGGAAATTGGGACAGTGGTGAGGACAGTGGGGACAGCGGGACAGCACAGTGGGACAGCGGCGGGGACTGGGGACAGTGGGACAGTGGTGGGAAAAATGGGGACAGTGGGACAGTGGTGAGGACCGCGGGGAAGGTGGGGAGAGTGGGACCGTGGTGGGACAATGGTGGGGAGAGTGGGGACAGTGAGACACTGGTGGGGGCACTGGTGGGGGCACTGGTGGGGACAGCGGGGACAATGGTGGGAACAGTGGGGACAGTGGGACAGTGTGGGGACTGGGACAGTGGTGAGGACGGTGGTGGTGGGGACAGTGGTGTGGGGACAGTGGGGACAATGGTGGGGACAGTGGGACAGTGGTGGAGACAGTGGTGGTGGGGACAGTGGTGAGGGCGGTGGCGAGGACGGTGTTGGGACAATGGGACAGGGGTACAGTGGGGACAGTGGTGGGGACAGTGGTGGGAACAGTGGGACAGCTCAGTGGGACAGCGGCGGGGACAGTGGGACAGTGGGGACAGTGGGAGAGTGGTTGGGACCGTGGGGAAAGTGGAGAGAGTGGGATCGCGGTGGGAACGGTGGTGGGGACAGTGGGGACAGTGCGACAGAGGTGGGGGCAGTGGTGGGGACAGAGGGGACGGTGGTGGGAACAGTGGGGACAGTGGTGGTGAGGAGTGCGGACAGTGTTGGGGACCCGGGAGTCGTTTGCCGGCGGTGAGTGGGGGGGGGGGTTCGAACCGGTAGTGACCCCCCCCGGTTTTCTGGAGGGGGATGGGGGTTCGAACCGGCAGTGACCCGCCCGGTTTTCCGGAGGGGGGTGGGGGTTCGAGCCGGTAGTGACGCCCCCCCGGTCTGGAGGGGGGGGGGGGGTTAAGCGTGGGGGGGAGGTTTTGCCGGGGCAAGGGGGGGGGGTCCAGCACGGGGGGTGGATTTTCGGAGGGAGGGGGGGGGGGACGGGTTCCGGAGGAAGAGGGGGAGTTTTCCACAGTACAGCGGCGGTGGATCACGCTCTCTCCCGCATCGGCATCTCCTGGCTTCCCCAAG